GTAACTAACTACTCATTTGTCCTTCAAAAAATTGGGACAGACTTGCCGAATAATGACTGATTATCGGCTGGGTTCAGGCTAGTTTGCTCAAAAGTACCAATAAGTATTACTTCGTTTCTGTCAAATGATTCCGCCCTATCACCTTCAGTCACGTTTTCTGGGTGGATTTTCTCGATTTTCAGTGATCCACGTATGAAAGTTTATTTTCGAGTGTAGTGAACTCTACATGAAGTAAGACCCCATTCTTTTACACTTCAGTCTTGGCAGTTCCAGCTTCCCCTTGTTTTCGATTATTTTTCTTCCACTTTATGGGATTTTCTGATTCTGTTCCATATTTAGCTGCTCTAAGAATTAGTTCCGCTCTTCTATTTAACTGTTCACTGTTTTCGTGATGATCTTTCACTCTGCTCCATGTTCAGATCGGTCGTATTTTGCATCCTCTTCACGGTAATGCCATTGACTTGAGACGATCCTTCAAGGTCGGTGAGCACTTTTTCACCTCAAATTAGTTGACGAATGTCGAAACTGGAAAATCGATACTTTTATCGCTCGATTGTTTTAGAGTAATCGAATCGGGTTATCGGAATCGGAGTAAATTTAAAGTATTTTCAGTGATCATTTGTTTGTCGTGATGTTCCAGTCCAGTGAGGTGAAACCCTACTGGGCTGAGGCTGTTTTAGGACTTTTTCCTCTTCAGCCAACCAGTGCCCATGAAATGTTTTACAAACTCAATGGCTTTAATTTTAACTTTCAATAGGTTACTAAATTTAAAAATATAAGTTAAACCTTTTTATGTGGTGCGCCTAAAAGAGACCCATTGAGCTGCATAAATTGATACTACTGTTACATTCCTTGGGTACTAAGTTTGGTAATTATATCGAACTCCGGAAAAACAATTTAACTTTGGGTGACGTCCGGAGGTTAATATATACTCTAAGCTCAATTGTACCTCTTTTAATTTGTCCAGACACAGAAAAATCAATTAGGCCAATTGATTAATAGACCTACTTCACTTTGAATCAATAATTGTTACTTTTTCTCCTTGTGTATTTTGTTTTCAGCCAATGCTTGAAAATGTAATGTGTCCATACAATATTTTTATTCTTACATAAAAGATCAGACCTTTTATCTTTGATTATGTCTGTCACATTAAGACCTGTGCGCGGGTATATAGGACTAGTCATATTTAAATTTTGATTTTGATGCTACTAAATACAGTAATTTTAAATAGGTATAAGTCCCCAATGTGTCGATCAGCATCAGCCATCACAAGAAAAGGGAGGGACATTTCAATGAAGAAATCAGGAGTAAATTTACCAAGAACTGAGAGGGAGGTTATAGTTTTGTATTTTTTTATTCATAAAGAAGCTAAGCTTTTAAAATTAGTCTTAAGAGTTAGAACTTAATGAAAAGAGTAAATTACACTCCCTCTCAAGATTTAAAGGAGGAATTTTGGAATTTTTTACAAGAGCTGGGCTGATACCAACAATAGTAATACTAATGTAACAGAAATGGTCTCCATCTGATAATATTCAGTTTTGATTCAAACAAATTCTGGTCAATGAACATAACCTTATAGCAATAAGCTTTTCAACTGGTTGACATTGAATGAATTTTGATCGCATTAATTACTATCTACTGATACATTTACAAAGAAAGGTTAAATTACTGATAAATACATTACCGAAGAAGAATTTGTTCGTAAGGTACTAACATATTCGTATATTCTCTTAAAAACTTGACTTTGCGTCTAGGCGCTACATGTTATCTCCTTATGATCTTTCTTTATAAAAGTCAGAGGAATGGACTATCGATATCGTGATATATAAAAAATCATATATCAACAAAAGCTGCAGTCCAAATAAAATCTCTTCAAATAGTTATAGTAACATGTTTTTAATACTTAAAACCTCCATCAAATAGTGTTATACTGTCAAATATATTGATATGCTGATCTGCAGTTAACATTTATATGTGTTATAGGCCTACGCTTTAATCAGAAAACCTAAATCATCAGATGGAAATAGCACAGACAATTATTCACTTACATCAGTATAAGATGAAAAGCATTTGCTGTGCGTATTTGTAAACTTTCCTTACATTGTATCTTGCAGCCCTCGAGATAGAGTTTTGATCATGGACCGGAAACGAACATACATGAAAGCAACAAAGGGTCCATTTAATCTTCTTGTGTTAAAACATTCCTTACACTTACGTCTTCCAAGAGAGAGTAATAAATGTCGAATTTGTGGTTTTAAATGTAACTAGCCATATAAAGTCTAGTGTAATGAACTATCGTAATACTAATTTCATCTAGAATTTATTTTTACTTCTTACACAACTTCTTTTCATTCTGATCCAAAAATTAAAACTAGAATTTCAGTAATGCTTTTCAACGAGTGGGTTAGCATGTGGAGCTATAGCAAGTAACGAGATAATGTTTAATGCACCTACAGATATTTACAGATGCAGGAGTGACCACACTTAAATATAGTGGAACTAATAAAGATAATGAATCGGAGCTATTAACGGCTAGAGTTTAACGTAACGACAAATAGAGTGAAAGTGTAAGTACCAAATACGTGCACCAGCTTAAAAATATTGGCAAATAAAGCTACTAACTTAGTGATAGATAAATGAAGATGGCAAAAAGAAACTAGGGCAGCCACATAAGAAATAGTAACACAATTGAGTATTCAGATTTAGATAGACGATGGCAAAATGAAATAAAATAGACATATTGAGAGCGGGTGTTGAACTTTGATTTAAAGCCCAAGCAAATGATGTTTAACATAATATCTTGCATAATACAAGGGGTATTTAATTTACTTTTAACATTTGAGATATTAATCTCAACCCAGTTATTTTTGAGATGCTAGTAATGAAAGTATAAATCAAAAGTACGGTAGCATTAAAAGTAGGGCCTGGAGTGCAATGGTGTCTTCTCCCCCTTTTTAGTTTAATTTAGTTTGTTGCTGTAACTTACCTATCAAAAGTTTACCAATGATGCTACTAGTAATATGGCAGACTAACTAAGAGTTATTGTTCCTTAGCAAAGAAAATAATACTTACCTGATATATCGTTTTATAAGCTTTAACTATTTTTGCAGAATTTCGTCCTCAATGTTGATATTGAATCCTAGCAGCTAGTGTCTCGGAGAGCCTCGGGTTTGTTCCAGGCATATCCACTAAAATTAGACGAAGCTTGTACCAATCTCCCTTAAAAGCATGTATGATATCAATAATGTAAATAATGTAGCATCCTCTTTACTACGAATATAAATATTTTGCTTATTCTCACACTACACATTATGAGAATATGAATAAAGTAGTGCCATATATTTTTACAAACGTGGCAAACACTACATTCACATAAAAAGGTTATATTTTAGATAAAAAAAATAGCGCACTGTTCATAATATAACCAAGCAGAAATAGTCAATCAATAAAGATTACATAACACGGTTAAATAAGTTTGGTTGTTGGAGCAAATCCTAACAAAAATACTAAGTCTCAAAGAATCGAATTTTCTATAAATATTGGACCGTGTTCAAAAAAATAATATGTTAACTTGCACTTCATCACTTTTTTTTGCATTCTGCATTCTTGCATTTCTTGCATGACTGTACTTACTTATATAGCAAGTTTATAAAATGTCTTATAATAGCGAGATTTTTTCCAAACACGAAAATACCTTTAACGTATTTTGTCTAGTATTGATGAGTAATAAAAAATAACAAAGGATGATATATTTTATGGTAAAAGATTAGAATAATAAATTTTAGAGAAGAGTGTTGTGATAAGCCATGTGAAGATTCTTCTATACGACCTATAAACCACTCTTAAGAGTTATGGTGATATGTTTACATTAGTGTGATATACTTGGAACATTTTGTTGTGTGATATTATTGGATCATCAAAATGAAATATCATGTTGATCATACTGATAATTGAAGTATCAAAAAAGTATAAAAATGAGTATCAACAAAGAGTATTGGATATTTTAGTTTCAACTTTTTATAACTCAGAACAAATCAAACCCATTAAACAATATATAAATAGTTAAAATGTTCTTCCTTAATTCTTGAAAACCTATGATTAAAATAATGTATTGTTCTTAGTATTTGTGGTGTTATTAATTAACCATATGTTTTATGTTTAAAAGACCAGATGAACTGATTATTTATTGTTATTATTTACCTTTTGTTTTGAGATGAGTTGTTGAAATTACTAGATAAAATACTGTTCCAAAAATGTTCATTTTGATTAATTAGATAGTTTCTTCTTATGGTGTCAGGTTGAAAGAAATATGGGAAGCCGAAATAAAAGAACAACTAAAAGAAATTTGAAGAAGAGAGATTACTTACAAAAGGAATATGATCTTGAATCAAGTGAAGATGAGTTTAAGCCTAGGAATCAGGTTTGTTCAAAGAACGGTGTAAGAGATAAAACCTCAACTGAAGCTTCGAGGGTTACTACAGTTTCAGGTATGCAGACTCAAATTTCTCCACCAGAAGCTTTTGATTTTCAAAATCCTGCTTTATGGCCTCGTTGGATGAAAAGGTTTGAGAGGTACAGGATTGCTTCAGAGCTTTGCTTCAAGCCTGACAGTCAACAAATTAGTATGCTCTTGTATACTCTAGGCGACAAAGGTGAGGATCTTTTCCGTACTTTTGGTATTTTTGATGAGAATAATCTTCAGTATGAAAAAGTTGTTAAAAGTTTCAGTGATTTCTTAAAAGTCAAATGTAATATGCTCTTGATATATGAACGTGCTGGTATAACATGCTCTTGATGTATATGAACGTGCCAAGTTTCTTAAGAGAAGACAAGGGGCCGATTATAGAATAATTAATTATTAAAACTCATTTTAAGTAAACTCAACCAAAAACTATTTATTTACAAAAACTAAACAAATAATGTAAACAAACCAAATAGCAGATGATTCATACTTCATAACTCAGCTGGTAACAATAATCCTACATTTCTCCCCACCCAATTTAGGCTGAGTTTCCGAAACTATGTACATCATCATTTTCAGTTTCCATTTGCATTTTCCATTGAGGTGGATCAGTTGCACCTTCTCTTGCTCTCAGCTGGTCAGCGTGTTTTCTCTTTACATCTCCCCCAACTACAACTGTGTACGACAGCTCTCCCGTCCTTTCTTGTACTGTCCCTGGTCTCCAGCCCTTCTTCGTTTCATTTTGAACCCACACTTCTTGTTTGGCAGAAAACTCCTTTGGTTTGGATTTTAAGTCGTGGTAGTACTTCTGTCGCCACACTTGATTTTCTATTCTCTCTCTGCTATTACACCTCCACCTATCCAAAGCTGTTGGTAATCTTCTACCATAGAAAAGGACTGATGGTGGTTGTCCTGTGGTCTTTTGTGGGGTGTTTCGATACGCAAGCAACACTTGTAAAAGTGCAAGTGATGAACTGAGACCTTCTTGTTTGCAAGCACCATATCGACTCTTGAAGGTTCTGATAATCCTCTCCACTAAACCATTGGGTTTTGGATGATACGGCGCTGATGTGACATGACATATGTTATTGTTCTTACAAAAAGTCTTAAGCTCATGGGACGTGAATGGGGTGCCATTATCGGATACAATTTTTTTAGGAATACCATACCTCGAAAACCAAGTCCTTAATCTATTTACAAGAGCAGCAGTTGTCGTACGGTCCATAACTTCGATCTCAACCCATTTTGAGTAAGCATCGATTCCTACTAACCAGAATCGGTTGTCAAATGGACCTGCGAAGTCGAGATGAATTCTCTCCCAAGGATCACTTGGCACATTCCAAGGATATAGAGGCACTTCTGTGTCAAATGATCGGTTACTCTGGCAAGGGTGGCATCTACGGACATAAACCTCAACATCCTTATTCAGATTAGGCCACCAAACATAATACCTTGATAGGGATCTCATGGCCTCTATTCCAGGATGTCCTTTGTGGAGTTCTTTCAATACAGTTTCTCTCAAAATCTGTGGCACCACAATTCTTCCTAATCGCATGATTATGCCGTTTTCTAATGTCAGCTCTTCTCTCTTATTCCAATATGGTTTCATAGATGATGGCAAGCTTTCTGTATCTTTTGGCCAACCATGCTCCAGGTAGTCTGTAAGTTTCTTCATATTTGGGTCTTTCTTATACTCTCTTACAAGTTCATGATTTTGATAAACTACGTCAATTTTCTCCTGAACCAATGCTCGAATCTCTCTCTCATCTGGATCTAATACTTCTTGTGTCTTGAGTGAAAACCGAGACAAAAAATCAGCCACACAATTATCCTGTCCCTTGATGTACTGGATCTCAAAATCATACTCCATTAAATACAAAGCCCAACGAACCAAGCGGTTGTTTACTACTTTGGTAAGATCTCGATGCATTCCAAATATTCTTTCAAGTGGCTTGTGGTCCGTCCTCACCTTGAAATGTCTTCCACTGAGGTATTGTCTAAACTTCTTCACGGCAAAAACTAACGCCAGTGCTTCCTTGTCAACTGTAGCATACCTTTTTTCTGCTTCCGTTAGTGTCCTCGAGGCGTACATGACTGGCCTTTCCGTTCCATCCGGCATCAAATGTAACAGCACTGAACCCACCCCTTGTTCACTAGCATCACATTCAACAATGATCGGCTTTGATATGTCGTATGGGACTAATGTCTTCTCTAATGACAGGATATTCTTCAACTTTTCGAACGTAGTTTGTTCGGTGTCAGTCTATTTCCATTTAGTCTTCGTACCAGTCAGCTTATGCAAGCTCGAAGCGATCGCATGAAGATTAGGTATGTACCTTTCATAAAAATTTAGTGCCCCTAGAAAAGCTCGTAATTCTTTCACGTTTCTTGGCCTTGGTGCGTGTCTTATGGTTTCAACTTTGTCTTCGGAGGGATGAATACCATTCCCATCTATTGTATGACCTAAATACTTTACAGACTTCTGAAAGAACTTACATTTTGACAGTTTTGCTCTTATTCCACTTGATTCTAGCCGCCTCAAAACTTCTCTAAGAGTGGTTATATGGGTGGTCGTATCCTTACTAGAAATGATTATATCATCAAGTAGAACTCCAACATTAAGTCCTTTTAGTAAACTTTCCATGTACCTTTGAAATTTTGCTGGACTTGAGGAAAGACCAAAAGGCAACCTTTTGTAGCGAAAGTAACCTACATGAGTTGCTATTGTAAGATACTTTTGTGACTCAGGGTGTACTTTCATTTGCAAGTACGCGTCTCAAAGATCAATCACTGAAAATATCTTTCCATCAGTTAATTTGGAAGTCAAGTCATCAAAGGTCGGCAAGAGGTGTCTCTCCGGAACTATGTTTGGATTCAAGGTTGTACGAAAATCGCCACAGATTCTGACTCTACCTCCACCCTTGTCTACGTTGACAGTTGGGGTACTCCATTCTATCGGTGTTTCGGAAGGATCCACTGCTTCCAAAACTCCTTCCTGTACTAATCACCGTAATTCTCTCTCCACTGCCTCCCTTAAGGGGAATGGAACTCGTCGTGCCCCGCAAGATACAGGTTTTGTTCCACTTTTTAGATGGATAACTTCATTAGAGTCAGATATCGTTCCTAGCTCATCACGAAAGAGTTCAGAAAACTCCTGAGTTAATGTCACAACTTCCTTTTGTAACTCTTTTCTACAACTTTCTTCATTCTTGCCTGTATCTTTACTATTTGTCTTTCCATTATCAATACGCCTAACCCTTACTTCCCTAGGCAAACTAAGATTGAAAGCTACACTCCACGGCAACCCAAATAATGGAACATCATCTTCTAGTAATACAATAACTGGCAATCGCTTAGTACGATTACGTAAAGTAACGTACACAAAAGCCTTACCCATGACTTCTAGCTTATTTTTCCCATAGCCAGTGATTACATCAGACGTCTTTTTTAGAGATTCGCCACTTGAATTGATCTTATCCCAAAGAGACAAACTTATAGCACTTACCCGAGCTCCTGAATCAAACTCCATTGTAACATTATACCCGTTCAATTCTACATCTATCGTAGCTCTGGGAACCTTACTCTTGACAGACCTAATTTGTGTTCCGCTAACATCAATATCAGAACTACACTCATCATCGTAAGTTTGATCACAAGAATCATCTACTTTTCTCAAATCTGTTCTCTTGAAAAAATTATGTTTACTTTTGCACATTCTTGCGAAGTGGCCTCTCCTTGAACATTTCTTGCACACAGCAGAAATAGCAGGACACCTATCTTCACTAGGGTCATGTGTAAACCCACATCTATAACACCTTTTGAAGCCAATAGATTTCTGTACCTCTGGTTTCCTCTTTTCCTTACTGTCACTTACTTTAAGAATCTCATTTTTACACGAATGTTTGGAAACTTCTTCTCTCGCTCGTTCCATAGATTGAGCTAGCTCTAGTACTACTGTTGACTTAACACGCTCACCTCGGTTATTAACTCCCTCGGGCCATCTTTGTCTGACTTCGACTTCAAATTCTGGACAGTTGCTTCCTACTGCAAACCTATCTCGTACTCGTTCATCTAAGCTATCTCCATATTTACAACTTCTAGCTAAAGACTTCAATCTGTTATAAAACAAAATAAATGTCTCACCATCTTTTCTTATTGCTCTTTCGAACTCAAACCTTGTTGCAAAAAGGGTCCTTGTAGGCTTGAACAACCGGTTGGCTTCCTCTTTTACTTCGTCGTAGGTGCACTCCTCCCAGGCCCTTGGATACATCTGGTCCGACAGTGCCCTGAGGTGCTCCTCTCCGATATTTGCCAATAGAAGATCTCGCCGAGCCGCTTGTTCTTCTGTGTTAGCACCACCCAGTCCCTTAACTCTGCAGGTCAACTCAAAACGAGCTATGTAGTCTTCCCACAATTGTTCACTATTATACTCTTTAAATGAAAATCTGCTCATTCTATCTTGTATGCAAGACATGTTACTACAGTCAATTACACTCCTATACTGAGACTGGTCTGTTTTCCTCGGCATTTTCTCGTCGCCAATATAGAATAATTAATTATTAAAACTCATTTTAAGTAAACTCAACCAAAAACTATTTATTTACAAAAACTAAACAAATAATGTAAACAAACCAAATAGCAGATGATTCATACTTCATAACTCAGCTGGTAACAATAATCCTACACCGATGAAACAGTAGATTCTTTTATAAATGACCTTCATAAATTAGCTGAAACGTGTGAATTCGGAAATTTAAAGGAAGAGCTGATACGTGATTTGATTGTAATTGGAGTCAATAATCCAAAACTTTCAGAGACTCTACAAATGGACGATTCACTAACTTTAAGGAAGGCTATCAACAAAGTTCGGCAATCCGAGTCTATTTTGAAACAGCAAAAAGTAGTAAGAGATCGAGTAGGCGACATATCAAATTCAATTAGTCAAGATGAGGTAGTAGGAGCCGTTAGCAGTAAAGTAGGCTCTTTCAGAAATAAGTTGAGATGTAACAAATGTAACGTATATCATAAGTATAGGGAGTGCCCAGCATATAAAGTTGAGTGTTTTAGATGTGGTGAGAAAGGACATTTTGCTAAGTGTTGTATAAAACAAGGACAGAAAACAATACGGGAAGTTGAGGACAACAACGGAAATGACACTTCAAATTTTTGTTTGGGTGAAATTCAGGTAATGAAGTACTGCAAAGAATGCCCTGTAGTTGAATAGAAACCAATGAACATAAAGTTGGGTTTAAAATGGATACAGGGGCCGATGTATCAGTCATTGGAGAACATCAGGCTCGATCCCTCGGTCTCCAATTACAAGGTTGTGATCGTGTATTGTATGGACCAGGCAAAAATAGGCTCAACATTCTGGGTGTAGCTAAGGTTCTTCTCAAATACAATGACCGAGTACTATCAGAAGATTTGTACGTGCTAGGTAAACAAAATTCTCCGTTGCTAAGCCGAAATGCACTACTTAGTTTAGGTCTGATAACCTTTAATGTCAATTTAATTGATAAAGATGAAGTTGAACAGTTATGCCCAAAGGTTTTCAATGGGATGGGCAGTCTAAACAGTACATACAAGATTAAACTACAAGAAAACGCTCAACCTTATGCAGTAATGTCCCCCAGAAGAGTGGCTGTATCTCTATACAAACCAGTAAGAGAAGAGCTAGATAAAATTATAAAAGAAGGTGTAATTGAAGCCATATCAGAACCAACAGAATGGTGTTCACCCATTGTAGTGGTGCCTCGTGTAGGAGGTAGAATAAGGCTATGTGTAGATTACACAAAACTGAATACTTACGTGCAAAGAGAACATTTACAACTACCATCAGTAGAAGAATCCTTGGGTAAGATTGAAGGAGGTAAATATTTCAGTAAACTGGACGCAGCTAATGGATTTTGGCAAATACCTCTTGACGAAAGTTCATACAAGTTAACAACTTTCATTACTCCATTTGGAAGGTATTATTTCAAAAGGCTACCATTTGGAATTTGTTCTGGCCCAGAGGTATTCCAAAAGAGGATAAGTCATTTACTTAGTAAATAGCCAAATCTTGGCTTGCATAATTCTTAAATTAATAAAATTATTGTTTTACTTTTTGAATATGATAAACATTACCTTATTAATAACAATAGCATTTTAAATTAATTTTCAGGACTCATTGGTTAAACTCATAATGTATTAATTACATAAGTTAAGTTGCTTTAAAAGCTTATAGCTTCAATGTAATTATCCATATCCAGTTAAAAATTCATTGTGCATAATAACTACTAAAATAATTCTTACGTTATATGGTTATTTTTTAATTAAGGCTTCATTTCAAAACCAATTCACAAGGATCAATACAGTATAATGTAAATATAAGAGTTTTATAGCAGTACGTAAGCCGTTGATTTTCTTCTTAATATCAAGAAATGACCATCAAGCTGTGTTGAAACGGAACCGGAAAAGAACCATTTGGTGATTCATGAGTTTCCGGAAAAACCACCCTGTCCAAGTCGTCTGCTAGAAGTGTATTTGAGATTTGTATATTATGAACTAGTACATACATTTTTATATCGCCAGTTGGTATTGAGCGTGAAAAATTTAGTTCATGTTTATTTCACTGTAATTATTATCATACAGACAAAACATAAGTAAAAGCATATCATAAATCTATTGCGATCTTAATTTAAAATAAGAATAATATCTTTTTTAAAGTCTGGTGGGTTGGGTTTTAATTTCATTGAAAAAACAAAATTACAAATAGTTAATTTAGAGGGAGTTGAAGCACCTTCTTAAAATTTGGAAACCGTGGTGACCAAGCGACATTATTATTTAAACGTATTCTACATATTCAATATCTCCCTACAACACAGTTGAAAACGACCTAATCTTGCTGGTTCTCTTAAATCTGTTACCATTACCAGCCAAGTAAACAACTAAGTGAAAGAAATACCAAGCATAATTTTTGTAAGTCCATTGTATGCATTTTAAGAGAATCAGGGAACATTCATCAATTGAATGTAGTTACCGAACACGGTGCAGCTACACAGCTGATTAGATCAGTAAGCGAATTAACTTTGGGCCTCGGGTTGTTGGTCGAGCTGCGCATTTAGACCCTACAACCATTAGTCACTCTTGGTCAGGGGTTGTAAAATATAACATGTTTATAAGTCTATTGTATTTTAATCCGTATTCCTAATTTCAAAAGAAATATAATTTGTTGCCAAGACTTTTCCAATGCGATCATGATTTTTGATCTGGCTTTGGTCCCTGAGGTAACCCGGGTTCAAATCGTACCAAACCACCAATTGATTTTGTTTAAGTGGTAATGCTGCAATCCCTAGGTCTAGCCTGAAGAAATATGGAAAACAATCCCGGGCTCGTTCCTTTATCGTTTTAGGACAAATCAAGTATTTGGCAACCATAACGACAAAGCCGCAAGGCCGCTTATGACCTAAGCGATGATGAATTTATCTGTGTTGTTAATTGGGTCAGCTTGTTTGATGTATGAGCAATTAGTAATATTCTACGGTACATTAACGGTTCATGGGTTGTTCGCCATACTTGGTGAGTGAATGAACAGATACTTCATTTTTGTGTTGGTTAAATAGCGTTAGTCTTTTCAACCATTTTTATATTCAATGAAAGTTGGGTTTACATTAAAATGACATAAAGCTTTACCAACCATAATAATAAGTAAACCATAAATAAGAATACGAATGGAAATAATACATTTAAAAATTGTAAAAAATCTGCGTATATACCTACTGAAATATTTTAATATATTTTAAAAAACAATGTATGCATTCAAAAGGGGTTTAGTTCAAGAGGTGACAGTACAACAAACATAAAGGAATTTCAGAATTCAATGAATATTCCCCGATTCGCATGACGATTTGGTGGAAGAAAGTTCCAATGGGGGTTTACCCAAAATTGTTGGCAAGGCTTTAAACATTAGTTTATTATCAAATTGTATACTATATTTATCGAAGCACATGTTTTTACTTCGAAAACAACGTAAGGTTATGTTAATGATAAAGTATATAATGCAGACATTTTTTACATTGCTATAGATATTAGGTAATGTATGAAATTAAGCAATAACAATAGGAATCACACCTGGGAACTTACTTTCGTACCTTTCTTGGCATGAAACCATTAATTTAACTTTAACGTATTCTTTTAACTCTTTAGCTTGGGGAAACACTATGTTGTTTCTTATCCACAATAAATTCCCAAATAGGGTGAAGTGGGGTAAGTGTACGCACGAAAATCACTAGTTGCACTTTAACTTGCAATAACTTCAATTGTATTTAAGATATCTTAATGAAATTTGGTGAGCAGAAAGCTTGGAATGTGGTCTATAAGTATAATTTTTTTTAAATCTTAAATCATCATATTTTTTTATATATACTTTTTTTGTAAAGTGATGTCCCGTGCGTACACTTGCCCCTAAAATCGCTGTAGGTGCAATCTGGGGCAAGTGGATTATAGCTTAGAATCTGCTGATTAAAATGGTTTTTTATTTGTAAAAATATCTCAAACCGTTCAGGAGTTATGAACCTTTTCGTGGAACTGCGCGTACAATTTCCGCAAAATGGCAAATTTGTAAATTTACAATTATTAATATAAACTTGTTAATATATTTTTATTAATTATTCAAATGCTGTAAAAAACTTCTTTGACATCACACAAATAATGGCAGGTTAGTTATTATCTAAAAAAAAAATTTAATTTTGAATTGACTTACCTTGTGGGGAAAGTGCATGGCAATTCACTGTTTTCCACTGTATTCACTGTAAGTGCGTATTGTCTACATAACTAAAATAAAACTGTTAATTGACTTAGTACCTAGTTCACACACCCTTATAATTATATTTATTTACATATTTACAGGGTTTTTTTTTTACTGAACATGGACACTAAAGAGGGAAGCGTTGAAAATCAGCTCCCCCCGTCTGCCTGGTGTAGGCTCTGGCAAAACCTTCAGTATGTCGTCATTGGGAATGAATGAAAAATCTTCTTTTTCAGGCCAGTAAAATGTGTTGTCACCTTTTTTTCGTGTAAACTTAACGATAGGTCCAATGTCACATCAATTGATGTGATTTGACCAACAAAGTATAAAACTTTTGTCTTCGTTTCAAATCTTAACAAAACCCAATTTCCAACTTTTGGTTTCTCTTCAGAACTTTTTTTTCTTCTTGCTCTTTAAAATTTTCAACTTGTTCTAGGTCATCCAGTTCATCAAACGGCAATACATCGGCATCAGGATCGGAATCAGAATCGGTGGGAATGAAAAATTTCTCTCTGCTGGATGTGGTAGCTTTATTCTTTGTTTTCAGTTCTTTCCTTTTATTTGTACTTTTAAGGAGATCTAGTGCAGTATTGCTTTCAGTTTCAAACTTCAATTGTTTTTTTTTAATTTTTTTTTTCATTTTCTTTTTTCTTCCTAGTTTTTGCGACTTCTTCTTTTTTCATGTTTTTGAGTCTCATTGCCACTTCTTCGCTTGTAATAACCTCAGCCTCTGAACTTGA